ACGAAATAAAAAAAAAAGAACAGTAATAAGTTCTGCAGGAAATTATTACAAAAATTTACTGCTATTTTTAGGAACAAGGAATCAAACGATCTTCCTTTATTCTAATCAATATATCCGATAAAATGTCACATAATTGTTATACGAAAAACGCTATTTCCCAAAAACAGAAGAGTTTATCAAATCAAGCTTAAAATCTCATTAAATTCTGAATACTAAATTCAGAATTACGAATTCCTTCTTATCTAATCTAAACTTGTTTTAAGATTCAAGGTAACATTAACAGTTTGCTAAACTCGAGCAAACATCGTTCACCGATATCGCGCAGCGTTTACGACAAACAGATAAAGAAGTGCCGTACGAAAAACGGATGTCAAGAGGCAAGGGGTGTCTTCGGAGGGGGACGCCCTCGATGAAATCCGTTCGTCGCGAAGCATGGGCTCGGTGACAAATATTTTTCATGCTCCCTGCGCTGGGCCTCGAAATATGCGTTCGCGGTGCGAGGAAAGGGTGCACTCGAACTCTGGAGAGGGTGAGAAACAGAGGAACGGCGAGAGCGGCTCCTCCCGCTCACCTTTCTGAATGCGGCAGGCTCGTTATAATCGAGGGCGTCCTCGAAGGGGCACGACACACACGGCGAAAGGAGCCGTCACATTCAGCCCGACGTAACGGTCACGGTTCCAGCGTCGATCCGACGACGTTATTTGACATTAATAAACTTCCGTTGACGGGTCGCCCGTCGATCGGGATAACGTTACTCTCTTTGACGAGCGGCGGCAGTGGCAGCGTACAATTAGGGGAAGTCCTCGAATGTACACGCGCAGAGTAGGACGACAAGAGATACGCGGCTTTTAGGGATGACGGTAAATCTGACGGGGGATATCGATCACCCAGACGACAACGACTGGCTCGCGAAACGTCGAATCGAAAAGTTCGCGTTCCCGCGCGGTTAGATCGATGGAGCACCGCTTCGAGCGGCGTGGCCAGCCTGACAGTACGATTCTTGTTGCTCTATGACTGTACGTAAATGAGCGATTTGCTGGAGAATGCAGCGATGATAGTTTTGGGCTACTAACCGCCCGTTGCGCAAGGGTTGGCACGAATCTGAAATACCTTATTGGTCAGTTTTCATCTTTCCTTATTTGATTTTCGATATTAATTTGCTATTCGTCGATACGATTACACGTAACCAGTCGAAACTATAAACAAAACATATAGCGAGCAATCCCTTTTGTTCGTATGCCGTGCCAACTCTGGAGCAACGGAAGGTACTGATCACAGATGATATCATTTCACGTCCTCAACGAATTGAAGGGGTAAGTGCGGTAAGGGGAGAGGAACTCTTCGATCGCAGTTTGACAAAGTCAGAGAATGAGAATAATGAGAAGAAGTGAGACAGACACAGTCCTCCGAGCACCGACGGTCAAGCCACGGGATTTCAAAGTGATGCCGCACGCGTCAAATATAAACATGCGATAAGAGAAATATCAATTTCATTAATTTCAATCTTACTTTCTTAAACGTAGTGCCATTAAAATAAGTTCAAGCATAATGTAAATCGAACTAGTTTTATCGACTTAATGTAATTAACAAAATTGAAGGTTCAGATTTTTAAAATCAATAAAACTAGTCCGATTTACGTCGTGTTTGGACTTATTTTAATCACTACAGTCTCAACAATTCACCGGCACTATGTTCAAGAAAGTAAGATTGAAATTAATGAAATTGATATTTCCTTTCTTACGTGTTTATGTTTGACGCATATGGCATGACTTTGAATTCTCGCTCCTCGACCCTCGATGATCGGTGGTCTGTGTCTGTCTCACTTCTTCTCGTTATACTTATTCTCCAACTTTGTCAAATTATGCTCAACGAGTCCGTGTCCCCTTGTCGCACCTGTCCCTTCAGTTCATAGGTGACGTGAAAAGATATCGTCTGTGAACAGTATGTATTACACGAACTACCCTTGCTTTTAGCATTTACTGACTTCTGTGATAGAAGTAGTATTAAATTGAATATTTTACAAAACAGTAAGAATTCGGCGTGAGGGCAGATAGTACTCGAACAAGGAAAAAAAATTTTCGATAAATGTTTCAAAAATTTATATTTTCAAAGTTATAAACAATTTTTCGTTTCGATACCATCGCTAGTTGGAAGTACCCTTTCGCTGAATCTGGTCAAACGCTGTCATGATTAGCGATAACGCGAAGCTCCAGGATCACTTCTCTCTTGTTGTTCCCATCGATTTTCACCGTTTTGCGAGTTTGTTCTGGTAAAACGATGACGTCGTCCGCGCCGGGAAATTTCTTAACAGGTGCCTGGACTAGTTTGTAGCGACCGATCGGTAACTCCTCTTTGTCCATCTCGATGAACGGTTTTTCCGGAGCGAGCAGCGTGTACGTCTAATTCGGACATTAACATAGAAATTAACGGTACAGTCGTCGCATCGAGTTGCAATGAACATGGTGCCCATGGCTAATATTTATTCGCCGGACGTTTCACCATTAATCAGATTAACAGCGCCACTCTTTGTGCTCGTTTAATTAAACGCCCATCATCGTTGACGAGGGGATTCATTCATTATTATCGGAAGATAAACTATTTTCGATTCGCCGGGATATTTGGCCGAACGAAGTTGCACCGCGGGTATTCCGGTGCGTCTGTGTTTTTCCGGTACGATTAAATTTGATTAAAGTAAATACATGCGCAGCGCCGGTCGAAAAAATTTGATCGCTTACAGCGTTCCACGGTTCACGGACGCGGTCCATTTTTTTTGTCAATAAATACTGTTTGACCGTGCTTCGTCAATTAGTTAGATTAAAATCATGTTTATCGCGGCTTAAGCAACTATTTGTTGTTGCAACTGTAAAAATATGCGTATAATACACAATACGCGTGTACGAATAACTCGTGCACCGGGAAATAACACTTTACCGTTCCCAAAGTGGCCATGCTTTTATATAATTTCGTTATATCAATTTTCCTTGTTTTAATCATTTTAGCGACCAAAGAAGTGATACTTTGTCATATCTCGTATTTTACACTTATAAATTTTCATTAATTATTAACACTAAAACAACTAGACAAGTCAAAATGACCCATTCCTGATTTCTTCTTTTTGTAATTATTAAAAAGATAACAGATGTTTCTCTAAAAGATTATTAATAAAATTGATTTAGCAATACGCAAACTGAATTGTATATCAATTAAAGTTTCAATAGATGCACTCTTGGAGTTTCCATAGGAGATTTTCTAAAAGTCAATTTCACTGCTCGACAGTTTTAGTATTAATTGCTGAATAGTGCACTCGAAGTATCTCCTAGATTAGTTGCTGGAATGGTTCTTTCAAATTCAGAATGACGATATTTCAGTTGAAAACGTTCATAAAACCGTGTGGTCCAATAAAAACATGAATAATGTACCTTTTTAACAGGACGCACAGTGTCATCAATTTCGTTTGGGTCCTCGGCGGAGAAGCTGAGATCTAAATCTCGCGAAGATTGTTCATTCGGAATGGGATAAGTTGAGGCTGCGTATCGATTTGCGTCCGGATTCTGCAAGTAGTAAACCCGTCCATTGGCAGCAACCACGAAGATCGCGATGATCGCCAGAGCTCCTTGCTTTCCCTTCATTGTTTCAAGGAAATGCGGATCAAACGGAGAACCGTGCTTGACTGAGTGTGACGGCCGACCACCAACGAAATCGACGGTATAAGACCTTTTCCGTTGCAGCTGCTGTAAGACCTATTTATCCGCTATAAGAAGATTACAGATCATTCCACGGAACGATTAACGATTTTAGCCGCACCGAGTGTGCTGTAATGAAATCGACAAACTTGCTTGACATTTCACTTCGATATAACAATCGTAAACGTTACTAACTATTCACTTGATATTAACCCTTTGTCCTACAATATCGTGTCAGACTCATGCTGAAATTTTAAACTGAATTTGACAAATCTAAATGTTATTCATTCTTTTCGAGTATGTATGAAATAATACTTTTCCATTATCAATCATTAACCCTTAGAGTAAATATAGACATGGAATAAGCATCAAATTCTACTAATTTTCTAATAAATTATTAACAATTAAGTAATTTTGTAAACCACAGTTGTGAAAAAAATCGTAGGGCATGAAATTAATGAAGAACAGTACAGTGTGCAATAACATTAACTTTGTAGAAAAACACTTGTTTCACCTGTAATAAGATTTATTAAAGTAAAAGTAAAATAAACTTAATTGGATAATGCTTTTACTACATAGATGCAAAAACATTTTCTTTTCGATACCACCAACATGTATGTCAAAAGAATGAGTATTAATTTTTGTATTATAAGTTTCTGAATCGAACGCTTGGATTCCTCTCGATTGTCGGAACAACGCTTATAAGCGTTCGCGTAGAAACTAAATCACAGCCTTCTAAACCGGTGTCTTGCATCCGCAGACACCAATAGGTCCCGATGTATTGTTCACATTCGGACCCGTTCCCGCATTAAAAGCAGAAAACACTGTTTCCGCTCATAAAGGGGTGAAAGCGGAACGTGCGAGTGCACGCGCATTATTGGAACGCGGCGAGAGATTAAAAACGACTTTTTCCAAAGGATCGGTTCCATTGACTGGGGTGCATTGCGGCAGGTCCTGAATAATGCATGAAATTTGTTCCCCGGAATCGAATCGCTTCTCGTCACCACCGGCACGAGGACAAGAGAGCGGGCATAAATCTAAATAATTTCAACCCTCGAATTTTTATTATTCCTATGACTACGTCGGCCTCGCCGCTGAATATGCATGCGTCGCTTTCCGCACTTCACCCGAGTGTTTCACCTTTGTGTGACTACCCGCCGCGGGAACGAAGGGGATGATGCACCTTGCACCTTTTCCACTTGCCGCGTCTTTGACCTATAACCGTCAAGACGGCTCGTTAGCCTTCGAGAGGCGATTTAGAAAACGATCCTCGAAGGATCTATAATTTTACGCGTCGAACGAAACATTCTTGGCACAACCGAACGAGATATGCAATTTCAAAGGTATGAATTTCTTTCGTTTGCATTTCGTTTTGAAAAGGGAACTTTCGACTGGTCGTTCTTCCTGTTAGTAAATTAATTTTTATTACGAAAAATAATATAAATGGATCGTGTTCCTTAACACTAGGCTTACGGACATTTATTGTACAGTTTATTCTATTGATTTTAAAAAATCTGATGTTCTTTTATATATAGATTTTGGAAATTGAAGGTTTAAAGATTAGACAATTAAAATACATATTTGTATTATTGCATCGATCAAAATCGACAGAAACATTTACTAAATGTTTGTATAAGTCATATTGACGTGTTCTGTAGACCTAGTGTTAAATAAGTAGACGTCTCTTAATATATTAATGTTTGTATTATAATTTATAAGAAAATTGAGAATGCGACTGTATGTCACTTGCAAAGAAAATTTCTATAGATCATCCGCGGCACGGGAATCTAATATCAAAAATTTACAAAGAGTCAGTCATTACTCGACCAGAGAATCTCGATAAATCACGGAAAGAATTAACGAGCAACGAAGATGACACCGGGCCTTTCCCCATTCCTTCCCCTGCCTTCTCGAGTGAAATATAGCCGACAACTTTTCTCATACTTGAGGGTTTTCCTGAGAAGCATACTGTGCTATAGGGAAAGGGGAAACAGTAGGAGGAGTTATGAAGTAGTTGGGGGTGGAAACTAGAATGTAACATTTGCGGAAGGTAAAAGTATATAGTGCCCATATTCAAAACATGATTTTATTGCTATCTTCATTCTTCTCAATTCATCTTGTTTTTTTCTAATAAAATTACAAATATTACTATACTACTGTTTTTGTGATTGTATCTATGGATAACTAATTTTCGAAACAAATATTACGTCTTATTGACTTTTATCAACATAATGTGATTCATTAAAAAATACGGTGTAGATAAAAATATGCAAGATACAGTTTTGAAGGTAAAAATTCTTGTAAACAAAGATAACAGATATATATCTTTGAGTGTTTGCATGTGACATATGTGTGCGATGTAGCTTTAAGTTTGATAAATAACACGGAATCTTACGCGAATTTCTTAAGGTTAAATAAAAAAGCTTCGTGTTGTATTTATAATGATTTATTAGTATGTAATACTGCGTGAGGTTGATTCTTGAAACTCTTCTTCGAGGCCACACATCTTCCATAACAATTTCATTTAAAAGTATTATACACTGTACCTAGATTAATTTACATGCCTAATTGCTTTTTTTACAGATTCTACGAGATCTTCCGTTGACGACAACAAATACGGTGTAACAGGCTTACACAGAAATCTATTCAGTCCGTACACGCTGTTCGACTGCGTGTGTTCGGTCGCGATAAAGTAATATTAAATGCTATTACACTGTTAGCAAACTGCACGAAGTAGAGTAACTTTATATGTTATGATAAACTAAATAAACAAGTACTCAGCAAAAAATTATCTAAATATGTGTATGGGAAAATATTTAAGGCATCTTTCTACAACTTATATAACATCTGCAACCTGGACAATCAAACTGCAGACTGATCCCGGACTTGTACACTGACAATAATTTTGAAAACAATAATTACATAGACGGTCGAATACGGCCAGATAACTCATACATATCATTTCTACGAGTATTGGCAGTTTATTTTTCATAAACTTTGTATCGTTTTACTTCGTCAATGCTGAGACCTTTTTGCAAATTTCGTTGGTGTATTCACTGCATTTTGCTGTACCTCCAAGATCACCTGTTAGACATTTACCTTCTTTAATTGCTTCATAGGCAGCAGTTTCAATGATTTGTGCGTGTTTGTTCAAACCCATATGTTTAAGCATCATCACGGCAGAAAGCAACAAAGCGGTAGGATTTGCTTTATCTTGTCCTGCAATATCTGGCGCAGTTCCGTGCACCTATTTTACCAATAAGGATATTAGTATTAATCCTCGTACTATCGTATATAATAAAAAATAATTATAGATTTGGAGTACATACAGATTCAAATAAGGCACCATTTAAACCGATATTTCCACTTGGTGTAAGACCAAGACCTCCAACAAGACCAGCACACATATCGGACAGAATGTCACCATACAAATTGGGCATTACAAGCACATCGTACTGACTGGGATCTTGAACCATATTTAAACAAACTGTGTCTAGATATCGTTCCTCAAATTTAATGTTAGGGTACTTCTGAGCAGCTTCCCGACAGCATCTCAAGAATAAACCATCTGACATTCTCATAATGTTTGCTTTATGCACAGCAGTAACCTATAAAATGAGTTAATGGGTTAGGTATTAAATAAATGCTTTCTAAGATAGATACCATTACTTTTTAATGACAATAACAAAAATGATAACTTAATTGAAATTTTAATAAATCTATTACATACCTTTTTCCTGTTATTATCTTGAGCATATTGGAAAGCAAATTCTGCTACTCTGCTAGAAGCTTCTTCTGTAATCAATTTAATAGATTGTACAACCCCTTCTACAATCTCGTGTTCTATGCCAGAGTATTCTCCTTCTGTATTTTCTCTGATTGTAACAACATCGACATTGTCGTACAATGTTTTGTAACCTTCTAGGGAACGACAGGGTCGTACATTGGCATACAAGTTAAATTCTCTATAATGAAGTAAAAACAATAAAAATTATTTAATAAATAAACAATATAAAAAATAATATAATACAATACAAAATATTTATTATCCAAAGTCCACTTGTGATGTAACATGTTCAAATAATTAGAACATTATCTGTTTGTAATGACGTATAAGATTATGTAACTCAAACAATTCAAAATGCATTTTGTTAAACTAATATACCACATTTATATGTACACAATATGTATACTAGATCAATCTTAACAATATAAGACATAAATTGGCAAGCTTACTTTCTCAGTGCAAGATTTAAAGATCTATGCCCTTTTCCAATAGGTGTCATCAAAGGACCTTTCAGACCAATTTTATTCCTGTTAACTGAGTCAATGGCAGCTTGTGGTATACCAAATTTGCCATCTGGACCTTTTACAGGTGTTACATCAACAGATTCCCATTCTATTGGCACCTGGTATATAAGACAATGTCGTGAATGTAAATATATATACGTATATAAAACGAATAAAAATATTTTCCTGAAATCTTATGATAAAGTAAATACATATACTTATTCTATCATTATCTTCTAAAAGAGCGAAAACATATCAATGCTCACTAGTAAATACTGAGAGTTGAATAATAGTGTTATGCAATATGATTGCTACTATTTAATATTCTCTAATGTATCTATAAAGTGCTACATTGTACTTTAATGCCATTAAAATTAACATATACAAATGGAGTCAAACAAAAACATGCAGTCAATTAAAAAAGGTCATCATACAAACATGTCACATATTTACATTGTACAAAAAAAAATATACAAATTAAAGAAACATACCTTAACTACAATAAGAGCAGACTGAATTAGCCTATAATTGGATCAACCTGTATAAGAGTAAGATTAAAATAAACTCCTTAAGGTTAGTAGTAGGACAAATAGGGTCACCTTGTAAGGTTCAAACAATAATTAATCCATAAATGAAGGTGCATAAACACTCTGGACATGACCACTACTGTGCAAAAATGTAACAAAATGATAACAGTGAATATATGGATGTAGAGTGTTCACTCAATTAGCAGGTAAATCAAAATCTCGTGCAAAAACAACAATTATTATATCATAATTTTATGTGAAAAGGATTTATTGTACCTTGGCAGTATCGAAAATCTTTTGAACAGCGGCAGAGATTTCTGGCCCAATACCATCTCCAGGAATTAGCGTACATTTGTGAACTTTACTGCTATAAAGTCGGGCACCACCGAGTTTCGGAACCTGGTAATATAATATTGACATAATTCACAGTTATTGAAAAGGACATGCCACTAATAATGTTGTATTTCGTGAAAGAGGATAATAGGGATGTGATGGAATATCGACGTAATAAAATTAAAAGAGAAAAATGTACGAAAGGTACAAGAATAGAAGTCTGCCAAGATATTACAATGAAGAAGGCAGATATATAACGAATTCGTAAATTCTAACCTTTTCATTTGGGAGAAGCAGGGTTACGTGGAGGACACTGACTGTTGCGAGGATTTCTTGATCTGTACATGTTACTTACTGCGGTTCGTATCCACTGAGCAGCCATTCTTTTAAAGAATTGTTCAAGAAAAAAAATGAACCTCCACCACCCAAAGACGTTATGCACGTCAGAAGCAACACCAAAAACCGAGGTGAGAAAAACGGTCTTCGATCGTGATTGGTTCCCGTCGGACGGTGTCTTCTGCTACTCAGAAACCGGAAGGTGGCGAACACATAGAAAGCGAGTGGCTCCACATCTGCCAATATTTTTATTTATACGAAAAAAAATCGAAAACAGAGATAATTTTATATCAATAAATTAATGTTTTTCCCTATTTCATTTTTAATAAATTATTATCTAAAAGACTGAATAGTAAGGAGTACGTTGAGGATTACATAAACATTTCTTGAAGCATTTGAAAAGAATCGATGTACCAACTAAACGCGGTTTATATTATACAAAATTTGTATTGGTCGTGAATCGGTTTTCCATTTTCTACAAAATTAATATATATGCGCATTTTATACCCTTTTCTTAGAAATCGATTTTTATTAATTTCTAACAATAATTATAAAGAATGAAAATTGAATCGAAATTGAATTACATTAGGTTTATTAATGACGAAAAGTAAGACTAATTGCAAACATTTGCTACTTTTTATTATTTTCTAACTAAAGATTTTAAGTATATCTAGTTCAATAATAAATCTACAACACCATTGCATGTAACGTGTAATTTTAATTTCAATATTTATCTATATTTATTAATTTCTAACATTGAAATTGAATATAATTCGTCAAACATTAATTATTGTGAAATCTCGATTACTATTAGTTATTTACTCTCGATTTAAATTATTTAATAATGTATTATAATCTTAAAATTATATGCATATTAGAATTCAGAATATATTTTCCGAAATTTAGTAACTTTATTCAGAGTACAGTACATATACATACATTTTACACTAGATTATACATGTATAATATTTATAATATGTAATATTCTTCTTCAAGAAGAAACAATTAATTGCACTGAACACTAAATATCACAATTGTGTCAATGTTCTAAATGTAGTGCGTGAATTTACATATTCATTCACAATTATTAATACCAATTAACTTATACTTTTTCAACACATTCCTTTCAAAGTATTTAAGTTCACTCACTTCTGTAGGTTTTCACTAACACTGTAATATTCTACAACAAAGATAAAAGTACAAATGAAGTCAAGTTTATTTACTTTTATTTTATGTTTATTAATGAATTACCACCACCATAAAACTTACCACAGATAAACCTTGTAGTCACATGAGATAGATTTCCTGGAAGAACAACATATGTACATAAAAATCTGATTGTTAACAGTTTTGAACTTACCTCATTTTCCAAGGAAATGATAGCCGCTATTAGAAAAATTAGTAATACATTAAGAACATATGATTGCAGAATGTTTGTCAGTTCTGCATAATGAAACAAAAACTGTTTTCAACTTTTTATGAACATTTATCTATTTTCTATCATTTTCTGAAAAACACTTTTTTGTCTAATAAGAAACATTTTTGCAGACCATATAAATACATAAATGAGAAATAAAACTATTAAAAACAGGTACTATGTTATCTGATTCAAAACTGACAAAGCTTCTGCAGATACCCATTGTTTATTGTATACCTAGTATATTAAAAGAATGATTCCTCAAATACGTCTTCCAATATGTTTTTAACAACCAATGTTTGAACATCATACTTTAAGGAAATTTGTATAACACTACGGAAGAAATTCTGCTGTCCCTATCTTGAAACAATCGTCGAAATAGTTAAATTCTTCCACTAACATTTCTGATAGAGCTACAAAAATATGAATGTGCGATCACTTTCGATTGACAATAGTACGGCGAACCCATTACACATGATCTCATGCGTTATAAAATAAGACCCTATCTGACGTCAATGATAATATTAAGAAAAATGATACAACGTCCTTGAAATGTTAAGAAACAAATTTAACAACCACACAAGCGGAGATCGACGACGGTTATTAAAATGATTCACTACGCATAGTGATAATACGCATTGTTTCATTGGCAACTGCAGCAAAGACCAGATTAAAAAAAAATCCACCACTTACCATAAAAGTAATAATTACCACAGAAAGGGTTCGTATCTTATAGTACATGAATTCAGTTCGAACATACAGAATTCCACAATTTTTTGGACTAGACACAAATATCAATAAATGTGGAAGATACACTCCGAGTACTACAATAAATAAGAATCAACCACAATGTTAGAGACGAAATGCCACATTACCAGCCAATCTTAACTTCTTCCAAAACCTGTTAATCCACTATTTCCATCCATAGCAGAACTCTGAGTTAACAATCTTCAGAGAGAGATCCAAATATTCTTCTAACGACGTTCCAGCACAACAGGAACAGATCTTTGATAACAGATTTCAAGCAAATAATGCATTCTTGAAACGTGTTCAGTATTGAGGAAGTAGGAAACCACAATCAGTTGAAAAGTTTCTCACCTGCGATGTAAGCAAATATTCACCTTAGGGATCGTGGAACTTCAATGTCTCAAAAGTAAACGGGGAGTTCTACATCTAGAAATTGAGCGGTAAACCTTTAAGCAGAGATTTCTGTTTAAAGCGCAATGCATTTAGGACTTCGATTCTGCATAAATATATCTGCAGATCGTTAACTTGCCCAAACGATGCATCTCCTTGCCAATACAGCATTTGACCTGCTTAAAGTATTAAAGAATCACAACAACACAGAAATAAAACACAACGACCAGC